CCGCGGGGCTCCCGCGGCCCGGCCCGCCGAGGCTCCCTCCCGCCTCATCCAGCCGGGAAGCAGTACAGCAGTTTCCCGGGCTCAGGGGCGAGCCTGAACCGTCACCTATTGGCAATAAAGAAGCATAAATCAAATTCCTCGTGCTGCTTAATAATTTGATTAAAACGTAGATATTTCATAACTAAACGGTTGTTTAGTCTCTTTCTCTGTCCCCATCCCAGCCCATTTGAAGGCTTCCAACCAGCTCCTCAAAGCTGCCTAAACCGACATGCTCTCCCCCACCCAGAGAACTTGAGGGGAAATGGTAGAGAAAGCCCCCAGCTGTGGACCCTGCAGTGAGGACCCTTGGTTAATTTTGTGATGAAATGCTTTTCACTAAGCATTTTCCGTCAGCAGGAGACGGACATCCCTAATCCAAACAGAGGAGGCTAAAGAGGAGTGGACAGACATCACCTATCTGAAATGCCGGTGATATCTATCTTAGCTTGCCAGATTTTCTTCTTTACTTCTTGTCTGCTGGCGTCACATTTCACCATGTCAGTCCCTGCTCAGCACAGTGTGTCCCAGCTCACCAGGTTGCCTGGAGCACCCTCTCATCCCTTCCAAGAACTCCTGATGCAGGTGTTCACTGGGATCTGCCTTTGCCCCTCTCTCAGCGGTGCCTCAGGCACCCCTCCCCAGCTGACAGCCCCTCTGCTGAGCCTGCCAACACACCTGGGGCTCAGCTGGTGGGATGAATGCTACATTCCTTAGCATCTAACACAGTGATTTTTTTCTTCTTGACAAATCCTTCCTAGCTGCAGAACAGATCTTTCACTTCATTGAGACGTATCTCTGATAGGCCACATTTTAAAATGTGGTTGCCAAAATATTAAAAATAGCCAGGCTTTCTAGGATTTATTTTTTTTCTTTTAATGTTTGTGTGTAGACATAGTACCTCTGTGTACACAGTTCCATCCTGATCCATTCTTTGGTTTTGGAGACTTTGACTTTTGTAAAAGAGCAGATGTCACCCCAGTGAGCATTGGCTCAGTGCTGAAGTCTCTGGTCTAGTTTTTGGAGATTAGGAGGATCCACCGTTTCTTGAGTAGCTAACAGGAAACAGAGTGATGGGCATCTCTGAAAAGCTACAAAAATTAGTTATTTACAAAAAGTAAGTGTACATGTGTGAACACTAGACTGGTAGGGTACATGGCTGTAACTGCGCCTCTAACTAACAAAGAGGCTCAAAAGGTTAGAGGCACCATAAAAGTTGTTACACAGAGCTGGTGGCATCCCTGCAAGAATTTCACTGCCACTTGCTGTGAAGGGGCATTTGAGTTCCAGGAGAGGTTTAGGATTTAAGTTGTTATTAAAAACTGGAACATAATTTTAAACTTTTTTTTTTTTCTCTTTTAATGGGGGGGTGGGTTCAGCAACTCTTCTTATTGTCTGTGTTAATGTAGTCTCCAGAGAGTTTACCAAGGTTAGATTTTTGAACAAGACAGGTCTGTAGTTTTACATTACATATTGAGAAAATGTGTGCACTGAGCTCTTTTAAAGCTCAATGTTTTTGGATGCTGAGAACTTCTGAAAATGTGGCCCACTATATGAAATTACTGTATGTCATTTAAAAAAAAAAATAAATAAAAAAGTGGCAGTCCAGATAACTCAGAAGATAGAATGGTGTTCTACATGGCATGGGAGTAAGGACAAACAAGGAATTAAGAGTTGATGTATTGAAGGCAAAGAATGCATCATGCTTATGGCTTCTTCACAAATCAGATTTTACAACCATGTAGACACAGACTTTTTTTTTTTTTTTCCTGTGCCTTCAGCTGGTTCTCAGGGCAGTGGGTTCATCTTGCTGTGTCTGTTTCTCAACCTAGCCTTTGCCTTTGTCACCCACCGGAACTTTAATTAGTTATGGCCGCACGATGTGCGTGGGCTGTGTGTGGCACCGCAGCGACTCGTGGGTGCAGTGCTGCTACATGCAGTGGTGTCAGTGCGGAGGTTTCCTTTCTTTGATATCACTGAATTGGAAAACCTTCTTCAGCTCTGTGTGGGTTCTGCATGTGTAAAGAGTGATTGTAATAGTCACCTTATCTCACAGCTGAAGGACTGCAGCAGAAAACTGTTAAGAGGGCTAAGTTATTGACACCAAACATTTCCTGTCAGTTTGCAGTTCCTCTGTCTGAAAACTTAGGCAGTTTATGTTCTGCTTGATCAGATTTACATCCAACGTATTTTCTCTGTTGTTCAGAACAGAGTAATTTTCAAAAAGAAAAATCATTCTATTCTTTCCTTTGACCTTCTCAGTTTTGAGGATGCTGATCTGTTAGTGATTTAAGATGATGGATGATCCCTCTATAGAGATGATGGCATAATTACCAGAAGCTGAGCATGTTCATGCTGAGAAACTATACAACATGGAGAAACTAAGGCTGTAAAGCCACCTCATGTGAAGAGTTATTTTTAGGACACAGGAATACGAAGTTCTTGTCTAGAATTATTCTATGGTGTCTATAAAGTGCTTTTATAGATAAATAACTATTATGGCCTCTTTCATTGCCAGTGGAAAGTGGAGACGAGAGGGTTT